TTTTTTTTTTTTGCTTTAAACACTTAATACTATGCAATATCTTTTTCCTGTATTTTATGACATCTTACTTTTACATAAATACCACTGCCGTACAGGTGTGGAACATTTTGTTTGCAGTTAATTTGCTCCTCAGTTTCTGGTTGGTGCTACAGAAAAACACTATTTGAAATAACAAAAAAATACCGGTCGCCTGAAGGTTGGTAGTTTTCTTTTACTACCTGTTTTAAACTAGCTTTTATTTTAGAAAATAAAAACAATTTTGTCGTGTTGGAAGGAAATCAAATACTTCAGTAAAATTTGGAAAGAAAACTGTAACTGGATATTATCAGGACAATTTGGTGTAACTTAGTATTAATTTTTGCAACAAACCATTCTTCTCTGTTTTCGACTATTTGCATTTTACGACAGTTTTAAGTGGACGGAGAAAAAAAAACTTGAGTTCATTTAGGTGTCAGGGAATTTACTGATTTTATTGAGGGAAGTTAAAGTCGAGAAGATTAGCGCCTAATATCAAAATACTAGTAGTACTACATAATACAATAAGGTTGCTGTATACCGGCGAAACTTCAATGATGGCAACTGTATGTAAACGATTTCGCAGTTATTGGGAGATCAGTGGGCTTTATTAGCTAAATAAAGATTGCCTGTTATGTACTTAAACATTCCTATCGGCTCCTTCTTCGTCACATTAGGTTTATATCTAAAAACAAAGAAAGATTAGGGGTCTTAAGGAAGTGGTTTTCAGAAAGTATACTTTTTTATTTTTATGAATAGTATATAATTTTATAAAAAAAATTTTTTTTTATTTTTTTAATTTTTTTTTTTTTTGAAGAAAGGGAAATAAAATAGAGCATATAACCGCTGAATCGGTGGGTCAAATGGGGAGGGAAAGCAATCAATTGAAAAAGAATAACTTTTAGTCGGATGAGTTGGTGGGAGGTTCGTTAATTTGCTTTTCTTGTCGATTTTCCGGAACTTTTGTTTTTTTTGCTCTTTTTTTCTTCGCTTTTTTAACTGTTTACCTAAACATTTTTGGCAGATTAATTTGTTTATTTGAAAAAAATCATGGTGAAATTTTTAAAAATTTCCGTTTAAACAAGATGCACTTTTTTCGTATTGTGGACGAGGTTTGATTAAGCCTTATGTACCTTTTGTATGTTATTAGCATTGCAGGGTAAAAGTTTGTTCTCGTTAAATAATTGTTTTAAATTCTCTTTTTACTCTTTTTCTGTTTATTTGCTTAAGAAAAAAAAAGCTATATTGTATGAACTGCTGAAATTATGATGTCAGATATGGAAGCTGATGTAAAGAAAGGGAAGGATTATCATATCTTGTTGTTGACCACCGTTTTAGTGAACATATGTCATCCATTGATTTTACTGCTTTATATCACCGTTAATATTATGTCTACAACTCTTTTAGTTGCCACTAGTTTTACTCTCGTTACTATTACTTGTACTATTGTCACTCCAACTAGTTTCTGCTCTACCGTAAGTGTAGAGGAAAAAGGCATCAGGCTTCGAAGAGCGGAGAAGAAAGATGGAGAGAATGGGAGAATGAACTTCAAGCTGGAAGGGACGGCAAGAAGGCGGTAGAAGATTAGGTTAAACTAGTTTTCTTTTGTGAATATTTTATTCCTTTCTTTGTTTTTTTGTGAAAATTTGAATCAGTTTCATAAATTGATGCGGTAAATACTGCAGAAATAAGTGTCTGGTTGAAAAAAAAAGTAAGACTAACTAATTGGTAGGAGAGAATCATTTGTTGTGAATTTGTGAACATATATAAATAGTTTGCAAAAGAGAAAAAAAAAGTTGTCTGCAAAATTGTTAGATCGAGAAAAAGTTGAAAGCTACTGTTTTTTTTATTTTTTACTTTCTGTTGAACTATTCAAACTCAAAATCCAATTTTAATTCATTGTCGGTTCCATTTTCCTCACTTTATTTTTCCAACTCCCTCTGGTTTCGCTGCTGTTTCGTGTGAACTCTGCCTACTTTTTTTTTTTTTCTTCTTTCTTCGCTCAGCTAGCTTTATAGGATACAACGAAGAAAATGTTTTGCACTTTTTTTTTCCAGCTGCTAAAATAACCTCTTATTTTTCTATCGTTTTTCCTCTTTATTTTCATCTTCTTTCCTTCCCCGCTATCATTGCAAGCAACAGCTATGAACAAGAGCCAAAAAAAAAAAGTGCAGACAAAATAAAAAATGGAATAGAAGTTAAAAATTTAAAAAAAAAATTCATTACTGAATACTTTTTTTTTTTTTTTTTGCATTGAAATCCCCAGTAATTCTTCTAACATTTAAAGGTTTCCAAACGCTTTTATATTCCTTTTTTTTTTCCTTTATTATATATTGTCTGACAGTTCAGCGTGTGTTAGGCACTGCCCATAGCAAACAGATTAGACATGTGCCCTGTCTGATTCCTCTTTCTTCTCTGCGCTATGGTTTACTACACTTTCTCTGCCGCTATTATTTTCTTCTCTCAACTGTTCTCTTGACCGCCAATGTTATTCTGCTCATTGCCTAACGATCTGACACTCTCAACGGGTTTATTTGGCTGTGTTTTTCAATGAAGGGGGTACCGCATGGCACTTAAAGCGGCCATCTGATGCAGGCGTCAAAGCGTACGCTGAGCGTTGCGAACGCAACTCGTTCCAGGACGCTATTTTACATCAACTTTGGTT